ATAGACGAATTTTTAAGGCTGTAAGTTCTTGGCCAATATGTAAAACTGCTTCCTCAAGGGCATCAACTTTAGCTTCTAACTTTCTATCTATTGCTTCCTGGGTTGCTAAAGCCAAGGATACATTTTTTGATAAATCATTTGCATATTGTGCTGTTTGTACTTCTTTTACTAAAGTATATGTTGCAACAGTAAAAGAACTCAGTATTCCTATCAAGGCGGAAATTCCCAAAATCAAAGTAGCCACAAATCTTTTTGGCCTTATGAGTTCTCCAACCTGTCTTACAATTTCTGCCCCTATATCTGTATACCAAGATTCATTAAGCGCTACTGGCAGCATAATATAAGCTGGTCTTTTTAACACCATTATGGTTGACACATTCATTTCAGGAACAATACAAGTGGTCAGTATGCATTGTTGACAGGTAATATAAAACCTCATATTATATTGCATAATCTGTAATTTTTTACTATCATTAGAAAGCAACAGGGAGTACGGAGATGACACACAGGTTTGAATATAGTACTCTTCCACATGGGTAGTAGCTCTAATTAACGTTATTTTACGAGTGGTTAAGGGTAATCTCCATAACTGAGGTTGATAATAGGTTTTATTTTCATAAACAAAAGTATAAATAGGAGCCACCCATCCATGACTATTCCATCTATTTACCTTCAATGGACGGGGAATATAGGAATCATTCCATGGATATAATATGCCTTTTTCTAAATATGTTCTATAATCTCCCTCAGGAAAATTAATACTCCAATCTGAAATATAATATCTAGTTCCAGGAATGGTTATTTTATTTTCTTTATTATACATACAATATATCCATGAAGGATATCCAGTTTTAATATCTATCCAAATCCATTCATCTGTAGCTTTGTCTGCAGCCTCATCACAATCGTCATATTTAGAAGGATGAATATCTTTGGCTGGATATTTATTAACATAAACTTGGGTTTGTCCTACAACTTTTCCTAACAATGACCATAAATATCTTGTGGTTTTATCTTTTCCTTTTGACTCTTTAGGGGAGTCTGTCAAAAATCCTGCATCAACTACTGATAAACACCCATTTTTTGTTTGACTATTTCCGGTTGACCCAGAGCCAAGGAAAAAGCATATAGGAGGAAAATCGGTCTGACCTGTGAATGAGTAATTGTAATTAATCACAAATTGTTTGTAGCTCTGTATTTCTCGAATGCCATCGGTCAATTCAGGAAATGAGGAGGTTACTGGAATAATAGAATCCTTCCAAGTACAAGCATGTAAAATAGGAGGATCTGGAAAGTAAGCCCAATACGTACCGTTGGCACTTACCTGAACCGAAAGCAAGCTAAGCATAGCCACAAAAAATTAGCAGTCGTCAAAGGCAATCCTTGAGCATTTACAGCATTTTCAGCATTCAGGCAAAGCTTTTTAATTGCCCCCCAGGTTATCGGAGGCGTTTTAGTGGTGGAGACTGTATACCTTCTTTTTTGTGAACGAGAAAGTAATGAAGGCTTCCTCTCCGAGGTTTTTGGAGGAGTTTGTACCTCTTTATCGCAAGATGATTTAGGTGACAGTTGTTTCATCGGGGGAACTAACATCGCAGCCACAAGACTATCTGGTTTCACTTTCTGTGGATGCGGTTCCGCCATCTCGGCAATGAGGTTTTTCCTTTGTGAGACGCTTTAATAAGTTCCCCACCTCAGGATGTCTGATTAATCGATCAGGAATCCAAATTGGTGAATCAAAATTCTGAGGAAAAATACAAGCATACCCTCTACCACTAGTTAATAATATATCTGGCCCATTCCATTTTCCTGTTAAAACATCTTTCCAGAGTACCTTTGGTTTTATATTTTCTTCATTTATATCCCAATGTCTCATCATAGGAGTTTTTTCCTTATCGTTCATGTTTAAGTAATTTAACACAAACATAGAATGATTAAGTATATGATGAGGAGAAAAATATTTTAAATCTCCATTTTGTAATTTATAAATCATATTTTTTAAGACCTGATTGGTTCTTTCAATTATAGCTTGTCCTTGTGGGTTATAAGGAATTCCAGTACTATGGGCTATGCCAAATTGTTGGCATAATTGTTGAAAAGATTTAGAAACATAAGCAGGGCCGTTATCAGTTTTTAGCTTTCTGGGAATTCCCAAATAACTGAAACAAAACATTAAATGTTGGCACACATCCTTAAAGGCTTCTCCGGTCCTAGCTGAGGCTACAATTACATGTGAAAAGGTATCCACACAAACATGTACATAGGACAGCCTTCCAAAACTAGGTACATGAGTCACATCCATCTGCCACAGATCATTAGCTCTCAAACCTCGAGGATTTACTCCCTGTTGAGGTACATTAGTTTGTGTAGGACACACAGAGCAGTTTTTTATTACTTCCCTTGCTGTTTCTCTGGTCAGGTCAAATTGATACCTTAAGGCATTAGCATTTTGATGATGTAGCTGATGAGATTTTATTGCTTCTTGTACTTTATTTTCATGAATTACAAAAATTTTAGTCAGGGCATCAGCAGAGGCATTGCCTTCTGCTAAGGGCCCTGGTAATCCAGAGTGAGCTCTAATGTGGCCTATATAATAAGGCTGTGTTCTTTCCCATATACTTTCTTGTAGTCTCTTAAGCAACTTAATTATTGTACTCTTATTTTCAGAAAAGGCTGCTGTTTCTATTGCTGGAAATAATTTGACTATATATAACGAATCAGTATATAAATTAATCTTTTTATCCTTGGTCAATTTCATTACTTCTATAACTGCCATGATTTCTGACTGCTGGGCTGAGCAATTCTCTGTATTTAACACTTTCTTTTCATTATTAATAACATAGGCTGCCCTCCCTGAGGAGGATCCATCAGTAAATACTAATATTGCCTCTTCCAAAGGTTTTATCTTATAATATGTAGGAAAAACCACCATATGTTCTTTAAAAAACTGTAATAACACACTTTTAGGCAAATGAAATAAAATCTGGCCTCCATAAGAGGCTAAAGCTATTCCTAATGAATCTTCTAACAACAGCAAGGTCTCTAACTGATCTTTATTATAAGGTATAATTATGTTATCCATATCTTTTCCAAATAATTCTCTGCTTCTCTTCCTACCTTTAATAATCAATAAACTAACCATAAAGGGGTATGAGGCAACAATCTTTTTTGGACTAGCAGCCAAATGTATCCATTCTAATGGTCCATTTTGCCATAACAATCCTGTAGGAATAAGTGGAGTCCTTAAAATAATCAAATCCCAAGGTTTAGTATAATCTAATCTTTTAATAAAAACATTCTTTAAAGCTTTTTCTATTTTTTCTATGGCTTGTTTTCCTTCTTCAGTTAATTTTCTCGGGGATAAAGGGTTAGAATCTCCTTGTAATATCAAAAACAAAGGTTTTAATTCCGCAGTAGTAATTTTTAACAAAGGCCTTATCCAATTTATATCTCCTAAAAACTTTTGAAAGTCATTTAAAGTAACCAAATGATCAGTTCTTAGCTGAAAAGGGATATGCTGAATGGAAAATTCCTGTATCAATCTGCCCAAATAATTATAAGGAGGCTCAGTTTGAATTTTTTCTGGAGCAACTTTTAATCCATACTCCTGTAAAGCTTCCATCATATCCTGCAATGCCTGATGTAAATAAGCCTTATCTTTATGGGCTAATAATATATCATCCATATAATGTATTAAATAAATCTCTTTATATTTCTGTCTTATATTGCATATGGCTTGGTCTACATATTTTTGACATAAGGTAGGGCTGTTTTTCATGCCCTGTGGTAAAACTTTCCACTGATACCGCTGATATGGTCTGGTAAAATTAGGAGAAGGCACACTAAACGCAAACCTCTTTCTGTCCTCCTTATGTAAGGGGATTGTAAAAAAGCAGTCTTGCAAGTCTATAACTATAATAGCATAATTTTCAGGGATGGCTACTGGAGAGGGAAGTCCAGGCTGCAAAGCCCCCATTGTTTCCATTGTTTTATTTATCGCTCTAAGGTCTTGTAATAGCCTCCATTTTCCTGATTTTTTCTTTATAACAAATATAGGAGTATTCCAAGGACTATTAGAAGGTTCTATATGTCCTGCCAATAGTTGCTGTTCCACTAATTCTTTTGCAGCTGCTAATTTCTCAGAAGTTAGGGGCCATTGTTCCACCCACACAGGTTCCTCTGATAGCCATACTATGGGGTCAGCTGCTTTTAAAACAATGGCCCCCATTATAAATTTGGATAGCCCACTCCATGTTTATCATTTTTGGGCTCAGCAACCACAGGATATAATCTTCCCTCTTGATTTTTTCCTAAGCCTTTATCTGGATCATACCCCATTTTCAACATTTGTGAGGAGACCCAGTCATCTGGACTATATAAAAGCATTCCCATCTGCATAAGTATGTCTCTTCCCCAGAGGGAAATTGGCAGGCCAGGTATTACATAAGGACAAAAGGAGCCTGCTTGTTTATTGACGGGATTTTTCCAAGTTAAAATTTGGGCACTCTTAGCTACTGCTGGCGCAGTTCCTAGGCCTGTTAACATATTATCAGTATGCTGGGTGGGCCAGCTGCTAGGCCAATCTTTTCCTGCTATGCAGGAAGCATCGGCACCTGTGTCTAAGAGACCCTGAATATTTTTTCCATTTATCTTTAAAGTTTTTAAAGGTCTATTTTTGGTAATTTCTTGAATCCAAAATGCCATATCACTGGAGCCAAATCCCTTTTCATTTCTAGCTTCTTGAGTTATATTCTTTCCTGTCTTATAATATGGTAGTAATAACAGCTGTGCTATTCTTTGTCCCACATAAATTTGCTGTGTCTTATTAGAGGGAGCCACCATTATGTGAATTTCTCCTGTATAGTCAGAGTCAATTACTCCAGGCAAAACTGTTAAACCAGATAAGGAAGTTGAACTCCTACCAATAATTAAACCCATTACTCCTGGGGGTAATGGACCTTTAATCCCAGTTGGTATTTTTATGACTGGAGAGTCAGGAGTTAGTATTGTTGCGGAGGTGGCACAGAGGTCCAATCCTGCGCTGCCTGGGGTGGCCCTGAACAATTTATCAATTCCCCTGAGGGAAGAAAGGGATTGAGCGTCTGGTGAATTGCCCCTATTGTTTGTTGGGCCCGGGGTTGGGCCCGAAGTAAGTTTCCCGAATTAGTTCCAGTAAGTGTATCTGGAAAAACAGGAGTAGGATACATTGGCATCTGAGCTCCAGCCTGAGGCACTGTAGAAACCCCATTAAGGGGAAGAATGTGTCCGTCCTTGTGATATTTACTCCTACACAATTTAGTCCAATGATTTCCTTTCCCACATCTTTGGCATGGAGTCTTAGGGACCCCAACATTACCAGGGGGCATCATTTTAACAGGACCTGCTGGAGGCGCATTTTTATTAGGACATTCCCTACTGAAATGACCTGTGCCTCCACAAGCAAAGCAATTATTTCCTTTTGGTCCCCTAGGGTTTTTTGTTTTTTGAACCATATTCATCATGCATTGAGGAAGTGTTTCTCCCTTTAGGGCGGCTGTCAAAGCAATCCCTTGCATATAAGAGGGTCCCACGTCAGAACATTGTTTAATAAAATCTGAAATGCTTCCAGTTTTTCTAATTGACCGAATCAAGTTCTGACAAACAGGGTTTGCATTTTCAAAGGCTAATTGTTTAGCTAGCATGTTAGCTGCATCCTCATCAGTTATCACTCTTTTTATCTCTGTTAACAACCGAGAAACAAATTCCTCATATGCCTCCTCAGGTTTTTGTCTTAAATCTGTTAAGGTGGAGGCTTTTCCTGGAGTCAAAGGCAAAGACTTCCAGGCATTTACTGCGCACATAGTTACCTGCCATAAGGCCTCTTTTCCCATATGCATCTGTTGTTGAGCTGAATCATATTCTCCCTGGCCTAATAACATATCTTTAGTAATGTTAAACTTATCCCTCTTCTTATTTAAGGCATGTTCTTTATTCACCTGTTCCTCATATTCTGTTTTCCAAAGCAGATATTGTCCTCCAGATAAACAGGCCTTTGTAACCTGAATCCAGTCATATGGAGTCATCCATCTATTTGCCAAGGCATCTATAAGAGTCATAGTATAAGGCGCCAACGGTCCGTAATCTACACAGGCCTTTTTAAGTTCTTTTAAAAGTTTTAAAGGCAAGGGATCCCAATATGGCTCATCATCAAAACCATCCTCAAAAATGACTGGAAAGCAGGCTGCAAAAGCATAATCATCATCTTCACCGTTTATTCTCCTATGCCTTTTATATTTGCCATGACTTTTATTAAAAGGTGGCGGAGGTGGCAAACCTCCGACATTTGAAATTCGGCTTCTTGACCCTTTTAGAGGAAAAAGTGAGCTGGTGGTGCGGTCGGTAAACGACCCAAGGGACGCATGTCATGTAAATTAGGTCTATTTTTCTTAGTTTCTTGCATTGAAAAAGCACCAGGGGGTTCGTACTTCCTTCTTTCATAATCATATGCAGCAGCATCTAAATCATCCTGATCTGCAGGAGGCAATTCATCATCAAAAGGAGGACTTTTTAACAAATTAGAGTTTTTATCAGTAGGTGACTCATCTTCCTCCTCTGAGTCATTATCATTAAGGTTACAGTCTTTTAAAGCAGCAGCCAAAACCTCAGTTTCTTTTGACGGTTTTGGGGAAAGTAACGGAGTACATTTATCCATTACTTCTGCAGGATATTTATATGGGTTCTTCTGACCTTCAGGCAAGGGGGCAATGCTCTCTCTAATAAGGTTCCATAAAGTAAAAGTATCTACTGGGACCTTCTCAGGTCCAAAATGACTGTAATATACTTGTAAAGTTTGCCCCACCTTTTGCCATGTTTCTATATTAACTGTTCCCTGTTCTGGAAACCATGGGCATTGTTCCTGTACAAACTGAAAAAACTGAGTTAATTGCTTGTTAGTTACTTTAATTCCTCTTCCATTTATCATATGTTTAACTATATCAATAAACAAGAGCCTCTCCTTGGACTCAGCGTGTCCCATCTTGACACCGTCTTACTCACCTTCCTAACCAGTATTCCTAACTGGGGGTCCGCGGCACCCTACGGTGAGACTCCTATCCGTCCGAAAAAGAAATAATACTTACCCCTCCGGGTCCCTGTGCGGGCGCCACTTGCCGGGGACCAGCCCCAGCTGAACAGGATTCACCCAAAGGAGAAG